GAGCTGGGATAAAAGGTCATGTTGATTGCCTGTGTTTATGGAGCTGTAAGGCGAGGCTATGTTTGTCGCGTTGTCTGCAGAAGTGGAGTCAGGGTTGTGATGTAATAACTCGGAATAAAATTCCAGTCTAGGGCCGATTCGAGAGCCTCCCGTATCTAGAAGACTGGTTTGAAGGCCAAAATTAGGATGAAGCGATGAAAAAAGAACAGAACTATCAGTAGAGACATAATCGGAATTATGGAGTTGAGCGGTTGCAGTTGGTTGAAGATTTGAAAGAGGTGGAATCGTCTGAGATGGTTCGGTTGTGCATAAATGCCTAAGTAACGACGAAGAAGGGGGCAAGTTAGTAAATGATATGTTTTCCTGGTTCGTTTGTGAAGAGGAAGCAAGAATTGTGTTACAAGCGTCCGACGTAGATAAGGTAAGAGAGGGAGACACAGGAGCAGGACTATCTTGGTTGAAATTTGAAGTATGAAAAATGTTTTCACTTATCCGTCTCATGGCATCCAGGTGATGACGGGTAAATGTATGAGGTTGGCGTAAAGCGAGTTGAATTAGCCATGGTGATAACCAAAGATAGGTCTTATTGGCAATACCCGGAAGATCTGTCTGTACTGGCACACCGAGTCGGAGGCAGTAGTCCGAGGGGACTCGTGCCCCAGAGAACTGGATATCATCTATAATAATCTCTTCACCGCCTATATGAAAGCAAAGTAAGCGAAATTAGTGTTTAATAGAATATGAACGGCTTCCATTCTTTTTGAAATTCATAATTATATACTAAAGACTAAAAAAGTGAAGGCGATGTAAGTTAATGATATTCGTTTTGTTTAACTTTGTTCATCACGAAAAATTATTCCGAGAATTTGTATTACTACTATGCCAAATTTGTAGATAAGAAAAGTAACTGAGTTTCGATGAATCTTCTGAGACCTTCATTTTGTATTAAAGTACATGAAGATGAGATTTTTGGGTTGATCTCACCAGAAAAGGACGGCTAAATCCCATTGTACTGCAGCTATTTGGCTTTTATACGGCGTTTAGGTTGACGCAGTGCACGAGACCTCATTCATTTCGGGTGAAAACGGGCTGATCTTTCGTCCATTATATGATGGGCATTACCAGAGTTTGGACTAATTCTTGTAAAAGTCTCAATTTAACACTATTAAAATTAATAGATTAAGAAATGCGTCAATTGTGGGGAACGGTGGTAGAAAGTTGAACAGGAACTATTTATGCTTGATTGATAGATTGGAGAGAGGGTGTTGAGTCGCCATACAAAAGGAGATTCAACTTGTCTGCTTAGTGATGGTTATAACTTCATTCACACTCGTCCAACATGTTAGATTAAGCTCATCAACCAAACCAGACGTGCCAGACTATGCAACTCTAGTCATGCCTTTCCTTGGGTGGTTAAATGTGAATGACTCCAGACTGATAGGCTAGGAAAAATGGTGTTATAACTTGACTTACACACTTAAAAGCTTACATCTCATTATCTCAACCATACTTGCTTACGGATTTGTGCAGTTTCGGTCAGGGCGTAAACTTCGATCAGTAAGCCTTGATGATCAGAGCCTAACATTAGTCTTTTGAACACACAAAGATACTCCACACAAAAGTAGCAGGATCAATACGAAAGATAATTTTCCAAAAGATTCTATATTTATCTAGGCTTTATAATTTTCTTTTTTTAATTAAGTTTAGATGAGGTAAGATAGAGCAGGAGAGTCTTCTTGCCATGGTGTTAACTTGAGACTTTTACATGAATAAGTTCCAGTTTTGATGATGTCCGTCATATGATGGACGAAATTTCAGCCCACTTAGGATTTTCATGAATAACAATAAGTAGAGTGAAGCATAAAGCAACGTTAAATTAAGCGGAAGCAAATGACAGAAACTTGAAAATTTTAAATAATGAATTCTTACGACTTTGTAAATTTAGTAGATGAAGAGGTAATATTAAGTGATTATTTGAATAAAAGCTTTGATGTGGTTTATTCGAAAGTGTAAAAATAAAAATAACTCGGTCTTGAGTACTGTTGACGTCTTAATGCGTTTTCACAACTTGATCGTATTGCCACGGGACCTAGATGAACGCATAGTCATGGATACTATGGCAGAGGACTCCAGACAAGGTGTGTTCAATTAGAATGCATTAAGAGTACAGCTAAGTTGCAAAACGAGATCAAACTATATCTATACTTCGATGTATTGTCTAAATAAATTCCTTGAGATCAAATATGGAAAAAAATATACTATGGAGCTACCAAAGGAGACTAGTCTATTATCAATAATGTATATCATTGTGAAAGTAATACGTTGTGTAGATAAGATTTTAGAAAGCCAGCAGACGTGGGTTTTCACTATAGATTTATTTCTACTCATATATATGGATTCAAAGTTGTGAAATCGATGCCGACTAATCTTAGATGAAAAACGAGGCTGATTGAGTTTCAATGAGAAATTGAAATTGGAATCAGACGTAGTTTAAAATAAATAAATTACCATGTCGCTTTCCTGAGACTAACATCAGATTAAAAAGGGGTTAGGGTTAGAGGAGATAGGGATCCGAAATAGATAAATCCTTGAGCATAGTGAAGAAATTAAGGATATTTCAAGCGGCTAAAATTAAAGCACGATTAAAGTAAATAAGGTAACAGGAGTAAAATAGAGTAAAATTATAATTTCCTTCTACCGCCTCTAAGCATACAAATTATAATTTGCTTCAATATATGTGGGTAAAACTGTAAAATAAAAAGTATGCTAACAGATATAATTGATCATTGGAATTTATTTTTATTAGGTTCATAAGTAAAATTCGATCTACACATGACTCGAGCTAATC